GATAGGAAAAATATTGACAAGGCCAAAACATTGATTAAGTTTTCAACCAAAAGGGGAGGATGGAGAGCTGAAGATAATAAACAAGTATCACCACCGAGTGATATATACAAAATCAAGGTTAATGAGTTATCAGAAATTCCGACTTACAATAATGTAAAAATTCGTGTTAAAGACGAATACGACACCAAAAGCATTTGTGAGCAAATTGTGTCGTGTCATCCGGTTTTACTAAAAGCAAAACTGGCTGGAAGCGGCAAGAGTTATATAGGCGAATATATGAAAAATCTAGGTTATCATGTGTTATTCGTATGTTCTAATAACAAGCAGAAGCAAGAAACCGAAGCCGACGCCGTAACATTAAACAAGTTTTTCAGTATTCCAATAGAAGCTGGAGAAAGACTACCGACATTTGACCATTCTGATTATAATTGTATTGTGTTTGATGAGCTAGGTATGGCGGGCAATTATATTTTGAACAGAGTTAGGGAGTTTAAGGATACGTACCCAGAGAAGATAATTATAGGAACTGCTGACGGGAAGCAGTTGAAACCTATAGCTGATTTAACTAACATCCAGCACCACGAGACATATTTAAACAACTGTCTTAATCAAATATTTAAATATAAGATTTATCTTAAGATATCTAAGAGACTTAAGACAGAAGAAGATAAAATTAAATTGAATGATATATATAATGACATTTGGAAAAATAAACTGCCCATTAAGGAAATAGTAAATAAACATTTTGAAACTACAAGCGACATCATGGAAGGAGAGCATAACATAGCCTATACTAATGCTAGGTGCAAATGGGTAAGCAAAACCGTAAGAAATAATTTAGGAAAGACAGATAAATATGAAATTGGAGAGCATGTGATATGCAGAGTTTATAAAAAAGAAATGGGGCAGGTGTTTAATGTAAATATTACTTATGAAATTATTAGTATTGATGATTGGAAAGTAGAAATCCAAGATATCAAAAGTAAAACTATATTCATGACAAACACCACGACTTTAGACAAGCACTTTATACATGCGTATTGTGCTACATGTCATTCGTCTCAAGGGGCTTCTCTAGATAAAAGCATTACTATACACGAATGGGATAAATCACATTTGGTCAGCCGTGAGTGGATTTGGACAGCCCTCACGAGATGCAGAGATATCAATAAAGTCAAGTTTTTCAAAGCAGACGTAGATGATACTGATTTAAATGAAGCACAAGTAACCAGATATTTAGAACATAAGATTAAGCAATATAAATTACAAGACATGAAAGCAGAGAGAGAGATAGACAACACAAAATATATTGATGTCAAATGGTTATTTGACAGGCTTAATACCAGATGTAATAAATGCAGTTCAGAGTTTGACATAGAAATAAATAATGGAGTAATAAATAGCAATATGACAGCCCAACGCAAATGCAACGATTATGCCCATCATAAGGAAAACTGTATATCTTACTGTTTAAACTGTAATCGCCGGGAAAAATAATATCTATCTTATTTTATATGGCATCTAAGCAAGATATTATTAATAATGTTTATTATGATAAAGGAGGCTTCGGGTCAAAGAACCGCACTTTACAAGAAGCAAGAAAAAAGGATAACACAATAACTATAAACGATATTAATGAGTTTTTTAGGAAGAATGTAGAACAGAAAGCCAAGCCAAGAGGACAGAATTCATTTGTAGCTCCTAACGCATATTATGAGTTTCAAATTGATTTATTTTTCATTAATGATATCCCTAAACAAAAAATGAAAGTTGGCATGATGTGTATTGACATATTTTCTAAGTATATGGTTGTTGTCCCGCTTATGTCAAAACAGCCAGCGGACATTTTAGCAGGACTGATGGAATGTATTAAAAAAATGGATGGAAGGCCCAAACTAATTTATATTGACGATGAAGGAGCTTATAATAATCAAAGTGTTATAGATTTTTTGAAAGATGAAAAAATAGAATTACATAGAACCAGAGGTCACCCAGCATTCGCGGAGAGGGCGATAAGGACGTTTAAAGATAGCTTGTATAAGAGGGTTGAAAACGATGAGAAAAAAGGAAAGGCTATTCAATGGACAGACTACATACACGAGATTATATTAACTTATAACAATGGAATAAAGCACACTTCGCACGGCTTAACACCGTCAGAAGCAAGAAAGCCTAAACATCAATTAGAAGTGAGTTTAAATTTAGGTATGAAAGCCAAAAGAAATAGAGTTTATCCAGATTTAAATGTAGGAAATGAAGTTAAGATATTCAGGAAAAGGAGACCGAATGAAAAGGAGAGAGTAGGAGTATGGACTAAACAAACCTACAAAATAGCAAAGATTGAAAAGAAGTTAGGACAGGAATATTATTATATTGAAAATTATGACAGGGCATTTTTGAGACATGAGTTATTAAAGGTATAAATTTATTTCTTGGAAAAAAGTATTTAAAGAAATAAAAACTATATATATTATAATAGAAATGGTTGAATTTACAGAGAAAGAGCAAGAAGAGATTATTAATAAATTCTTGGATGACTTAAACAAAAATGAAACAGAAAAGATTCTCAAACACGAACTATCCAAACATAATTACAATTCATCACTATTACTTTATTTGAAGTTGCCATTCAATGCCATTAGGTTAATCAAAGAATATGGAGAACGTAAATGCAAATGCGATAACTGCATTCATTTGAACCAGACAATTGACCACGCGAATAGATATTTTAGTGATGTCTCTACAGTATACTATTTTAATGAGTTATATAAATTCCCAAAGGAAGAAGAATTAAAGCTACAGTTTAATTTGGCACCAAGCAGGTTTAAGAAATACAGATCTGGATTTAACAGTCGTTTACATGACCCTACGCGTTTAAAACATTTTGTACCATCAAGTAACTGAAAGAATTTAATGACATACTAAAATACATTCATGAACATAATTTTACCAAATATGAACATATCAAATTAAATTATTATCCTGAAGTTTACCTATAACCATACTATAATAATAACATGTAAAATATTATATGTTATAATTATATTTCAATATTTAATTTTATTTCTTGTAAAAAAATATTTAAATAAATAAACACTATATATATTATAATAGCAATGGTGGAAACCGAAATCAATAATTATATCAATAAGAAATGCTACGACTGTTGCCACTTCAAAAAGGAAAATATGGATTTATATAAATTGAATTTACCTAATGGAATAGTTAATAATATTATTGATTATTCTTTGGACGAAGAACATATATGTAGAACTTGTAGAAGATGGAGACGATATCAAAATATAATAGAAAATTGTTTGGCGTTTAAAAATATAGATGAAAGAAATGTTGAAGATGAAATATTGATATTTTTAACTGTGTATGAAAGACCACCTTACGATTATGTTAAACAGTTTCTTAAAATCAGTAAGAAAAAGTGTGAAATGATTAATGACATATTATGGATGTTGATTTATTATAGTAAACCCGGCGTTGATGTAAAAAAAGTCATAAAATCATATATTGAAAGTGAAAAATTTAATGTTAAAAATACAGTGAGAGATATTAATATTATTTTTAAAATGATGTATGAAAGAGGTAAGATGTATCAATTAAATTATTATCCTGAACTTAAATTATAATCATAATATAATAATAACATGTAAAATATTATATGTTATAATTATATTTCAATATGTAATTGTATTTCTTGTAAAAAAGTATTTAAAGAAATAAACACTATATATATTACAGTGGAAATGTTATTTAATTATTCAAAGTGCGAATGTTGTACAACTAAAAGGAATGATGTTAATATAACATTGTATAAGTTATTACCCGCCAATCTATGTAATAAAATAAGTGAATATGATGTATATTGTAGTCAATGCTGTATAACAAGAGACCTTGAAAAGTTTTTTGTTGAAGAACATAAGGATAAGGGATATACAAAGTTTCAATTACAATTGACATTCTTTATGAGATATCAAAAACGATGTCCTGTATGTTTTTACCATACAATTGCAAGAAAGTCATTTGAAAAAGAAATTGATGAGTTCTTCAATAATAAAGATTTGATTAAAAGGTTTGGAGGGACAAGCGCAATTAAACCATATAAAGCATTTGTTAAAAAATTCGAGGCATGTTTGATGCGATTGATTGGCATTTATTAAGTAAAGATAAAATAAACGAGGTCTTGAATGAATTTAGAATAACTAAATATCATGTATGGTCTTACTACAACACTAAATATCAAGTATGGCTACTAGTTAATTTGTTTTTCTGGGAATATATTTATTCAATAATAGGAAAAGACAATATCAAATATATAGACATTGGCGATATTGATAAATATGTAGATTACATATTTGAAGACATTTTTCCTGACTATAAATGTAACCCATAATTATTAATCATACTATAATAATAACATTTATACCCTTATATGTTATAATTATAATGTAAGTATAGCGTTTTATATATTGAAGATAAAATCCTACAAGGGACACCACGCCCAAAAAAATATATGATGAAACTGATGAAACGAAGGAGGGAGTGATGTTGTTGCTGTTCTATTTTTTGTCCGGGAAATGGACAAATCGTTTTTAGACAGTTCGAATATTTTTTTGATGACAAATATTTTTTGCAATATATTTTGCAAAATTTATTTTTTTGAAATGGATGAGGTGAGGAGATTGAGGAAATGACATTTTGGAGGGTAGTTGGTGAAATGAATGAGGCGAGGAGAAAGGAGAAAAGGATGGCGAAAATTTTGGAAAAATGATGATAAAAAAACGGATGAGATGGACAGAAAGGAATGTAGAAAAATGATGAAAACGAATAAGGGTAGAAGATGGAAGATGAAAAAAAATGTAGGGTGGGGGGTATGTATGAAGCAATTTATTTGCGGGGCAAGGCCCCCGACTACTGATTGCATGCTCCATGGATTCCATGGATCCTATGGATTGCACCATGCACAAGTCAAGCAGCCAGAGTCCGGCTTCAAACGCTGGCAGTGGCCAAAAGCCAGGTCGGCTACTGCATCCGAGGACAGAAAGTCCTCCTGTTCGGCGCACGCACGCGGGTACAAGTGAGGCAGAGTGCGCACCATGGCAGAAGAGCACGAGTGAGCCGAGCTCATCATCTCGCAGAAGCTTGACTTGTTGAAGTCTGCACGCATCTGAGCCTGTCGCACTTTGGCATTTGGAGCCCCGTGAGGCAACACCGCGCCAGCGCCAACATTTCCCCCAGAAGGCCACAGGTCTCTTTGCCTCGCCCGACGGCCCGACGGCCCGACGGCCCGACGGCCCGACGGCCCGACGGCCCGACGGCCCGAGACTTCGGAGATTGGGCGCGGGGCTTTGGGAGTGCTTCCGACACACCGAGATGCTCGACTCCTCTGTCACGTGGCCAGAGGAGTTCGCCTTAGTGCGAACATGAAAGAACATGTGAGCGTGCACATGCCCAGCCGTCCAACGTCTGACTGCCCCACTCTCTCCCCCCAAGTCGCTCTCGGCGCCGCCTTGTCAACGATGTCCGCGCATTTGTTGGCTGTGAACACCTGAACATCCTGAAAAGTCACCGAAAGAATGTCCTGAAACCTGAAAGGCGACACGGCAACACCGAAGCGGCACACACAAAGCTCAATTCGCGCAAGAGGCCGTCGCGCGGTCAAAGTTCAGCGCGGCCGCCTTTCTCAGAGTCTCAGAGAGTCCGAGCGACGGCCCAGGGCCTGAAGCAGCACGCACCAAAGGCACCTCAGCCAGCTGAAAAGCTGAGCTGAGAAAAAAGCTGCCAAGAAGCCAATGTCAAGCAATCCACACATCTCCGATTTTGGGCGGGCGCTTCATTGGGCGCTTGCCGCAGCCAGGGCAGGCCGCGCTAAGCGAGCACATGCCCAAGCAACCAACTTCGCAACCGACGGTCCCAGGAAAGTGCTCGCTGCTTCGGTTGCTTGGTGGCCCCTTAAGCGATCCTGCGCACTTTTGCTTTTTCGAGAAAAAATATCGGACATTCGGGCAGCCCCTCACTTGGATCCGTAGAAGTCTGCTGCCCTGACCGATCGCTTTCGGACGCAGCTGGTGTGCTTGTCCGAACGTTTGTGAGATAGGGAGACACTTGAAGTTAGCATGTGCAAATTGTCAATTTGGCAATGCCCCTCTGCCTCTCAGGTCGAACGGCTTGACAATCCGATCCGGTCTTGAAAGCAAAGCTGCCGCATCCCGGAATCCCACGCCTGTCGCCCCGCACATCCCAACTCAGGCCATCCGCAATGTCGCCTCGGAGCGGCTCACTCGCGAAAGAGACATTCGAATCCATGGAGAATGATGCAAAACGAATCCTTTAGATCCCAATATACTAACATATACATAAACATATATATACATATATACATATATATATATATATATATTATAATATATTAATGTTATCATGTAGTTAAGTTGACCAATTGATAGTGGCTCTGTAAGGGTTTGAGCTCCGAGTCCAGGGGCACGGCCAAAGATCGACTTGGCGTAGAAGCGAGCGGTCTTGTTGCCTGAGCTGAGGCTCTCGCCATGCGACGCGCCGACGCGCACAGCCGAGCGAGGCGCTTTTGGAGAGGGTGTCCACCTCACCAAATCTCACCGCATTCATTATGTCATTGTGTGCTCAGACACTGCACAGGTGACCCGAAAGCCCAAGGTGGCAAGAGTGTACCGCAAAACAAGTTGCGCGTCTCGCATTTTAAACGGCACGATTTTGAGGTTTCCAAGGGTGGTACCCGGGGTCAGCTTTGTTGTTCCGGCTGTCTTATACTGTCCGACTATCGGAGTGCTACTCCATACCATCGCCTGCACGCCTGCCTTGCGTTTTACACAAGCAGCCCGACCTAGATCTGCAAACACGGGACACATGCGAAGTTCTCTGAGGCGGGTTTTGGCAACGCAGCCGATGGCGCAATCCAACCAGGTGCCGTGTGAGATGGCAACCAAAAAAAAGGATCGCAGGTCTGATGCCGCAACGCGCCCAGGTTCTCTGAGCAAGCTTCTCTAGGCTCTAGGCAAGTTCTTTGAGCAAACTTCTCTAAGCAGACTGTCTGAGTAAGTTCTCTATGCAACATCTCTATGCAAGCCCAGTTGCGATGCTTTCGGGGAAAACATTGGCAACTGTGACTCATGCGTCGCAAAGCGCCTTCTTCTTCACGTCCCACCTCTCTGCGCGGCGCATCCAGTACTTGTCAGTCTCTGGCACCTTCTGTGCATCGCATGGTGAGAGGGAAAAGATTGACTGGATAGTCCTTGTTGTCAACTGGAATCGGGGTGAAGTAGAACTCCTTGGCATGCCCAAAGAAAGGTGATCTGTGACATGACATGAAAATGCTCATGCAAAGTGACATGATCTATGCGCATCAGAGGGCCATGGCCTCGCTGCTGGCAAGTCTCGTCGGAAGGCTTCAAGCCCACGCTTTCGTTGATCTTGCGAGTGCAATGCATTTGCCTCCCTCATGCCATGTCATCATGTCGTCATGTCGTCATGTCGTCATGTCGCCATGTCGCCATGTTGCCATGCGCTCACTGACTCTGCTGCCAATCTGACACGGAAGCTACCCAACTGGGCGAACTGCTGGGCACACCCTCAAAACGCACCCCGCATGCCCAGCCGGCATGCCTTTGTAAAGAAGGTGTTCATCAAACGCCGCCCTTCATCAAACTTCTCGCGCGCGGCGCTCAGCTTGTCCTAGGAGAACAGCACTCGGTATCACAAATCCATCCCGCACCCGGCCTCCCGCGCCGCTTTGCCTAGTTGGTACTGATTCACTTCGAACTTCTGAAAGATCTGCGAGAGAGAGAGCGAGAGTCGGCTAGCCGACTGAGAATGGCCCTGCGGTTCTTTCAACTCTGAGATTGGCCCTCCTGCTGCAAATCGTCCGAAGTATCCGGATCCACCGCATTGCTCAGGGACACGTCCCTGGGACTCCAACCCTCCAGGCGAGGCGCAAACGCAGAACAGCAAATAAGGCAATGACTTCATGGGGTAAAGGACCTCGCGCTCGAATTTGGAAACCACAGCGCCAGCGCCGGCGTTGGAAGCAACGTTGGCCTTGTACCTAAGATAAAATAAGAGAAAGAGGGGCGCGGAAGCAACGTGGTACGTATGCTTTCACGTTTTGGACTAAAGCAACCCGCGCACATCTCACGAAGTGATGCGAGATTCTTGACCTCTGGACACGCTTGTCCCATCTCCTCACGCGATCGGATCGGAATTTGCTGGGCGCGCCTCACTGCCTCACTCGACTCCTTGCACATCTCTGCGCTCACCAAGTTCTCGGTGGGGTGCACCAGTGGCTTCACATCGAAAAGGTACCTGCCCAATCAGCATTGAAAGCTCTATTCTCAGTTTGGCACGTCACTGCCAAGCTCATTCTGCCGGCAGCATTGCAGCATGGGGTGTTCAAGACATGTGACTCTGAAGAGAAGATGCGGTAGATTCAATCCGAAGAAACTCAACAAGTGCCATTTGTGGCTTGCTGGATGTGTAATATATCTGAGAAGCCCGGTCATCAAGCATATCAAAACCCGGTCAAGCTCGTCAAACATTCTCCAGGCATGTGTCTGTGTGTCCATGTCTCTGCGTGTGTGGGTGGCGTCAACTTGAAGAATGCGGACCTTGCCAGCTGGTTCCCTTCAGTGCAGAAGATGGGGCACCAGTCGGCGGCGAAGTTCAGCACCCGGGCCTGACGTCTGACCCTAGACTCTTGTGGCCATGTGCTGACGATACCTTCTCTCTGAAGTATGCTTCCCGATTTTCCAGCTGGTACCTCGGAGCAAACAGACTGCATTGCACACCGTTTCCATCCGCGCACTGTGCTTGCGCGGAGGCCGCCTGAAGCACGGGGGGCACACAACACAAATCGAAGGTCGGATGTCGCACACGGAGCCTCCGGCTGTGAGGCAGTGCCCAGAGTGAGAGACGTGCACGCCAGCAGGGCCTTCGGTTTTCATTTCGTGGCTTCGGGCCTTCCGGTCGGTCCGACGTGCACCCGTGTGCCCGTGCGCCCGCGGGCGCCTGGCGCCGGTCGAGGGCCGCGCGGGCCGTGCCCCGCGCACCTTTCAGGAGGATGGCTCCCGCTGCCAAGGCCAGGAGCGACCTGACGGCCGAGCACACGACCCGCAATCGATCCTTTGGCACAACACGGCTGTCTGGGATTCATCAGGCAGATCCCAAAAGCGCACCCCACACTGCCTGAGATCAAGAGAGGATCCATCAGGCAGCCTGCACTCTCTGCTGGCAACAGCTTGCAAACCTACCCAAATGGTGCCCAAGGCCCGAGCAAACCTGAGGATGTACGCGAGCCCAAGCTCCCCGAGCAACTGGAGCACCCGGAGCACCCGGAGCACCCGGAGCACCCGCAGCACCCGGAGCACCCGGACCTGGGGAGTCGCACCTGAGCAAACGGTCTGACCGTCTTGTCTTCGCCCATGCACTCCATGCAGTCCGAATTCTTAGCGAGTGGCACGCTTCGGCGACCAGAGGCTGAAGCAGCCTCGGATTTTTCGAACGCCAACTTCCTCATCCGCTGCCGTGTCCCGCACTGCCGACTGCGACCGTCGCCAGCACCCTGAGGAGGGCCGGACAATGACAATGAACACAGGCGAGAGAGGGCAAGGCAGTGCTGCACGCCGCATCAGGCCAAGTGACGTCAAAGCTATCACAGCTGTGTTTGCAAAAAACAAAGTTACCTGTCAAACAGGGGCTAAATAAGAAGGCCCAATCGTGATTCGTCTCCAAGTGTCCGCACCATCGTGCTTTGTCTCTGTGTGTGATGTGCGCGTCATGGTGTCCTCCCATGGTTCTTTCGTGTGTGAGACCATGCCAGGCTTGCAGGACTGTCAAGCAAGCTGATATCTTGAGACTCCGAGTCCCAGAACCCGGCGATGCGCGCCCTTTTGCTCGGAGCCCGTCTCCGTTAGCCACCCAGCCGCATGCCAGTGCCCTGAAAGGCCTGGAAGGACGGCCCAGGCGGTGGCCCAGGCGGTGGCCCTGGCCGGTTCGGCTCGGGCCCGCCCATGCCGCCCGTGCCGCCCGTGCCGCCCGTGCCGCCCGGGCCCATGCCGGCCGTGCCCGGGAAGTTGCCTAAGCCCAGCGGCATCATGGGGCCCTCAGCGGCGGTGGCGGTGACCAGGCCGTTCAGCTTGAGGCCCAGGAAAGCGCCAGTGGCCTGGCAGCAGAAGGACACCAACACGAAGGGCCCCCCGGTGAACAACTTCAGCATCAGGAAGATCGCATTGAGCCCCGCCAGGAAGGAGTACGCCATGACGCAGCTCAAGCCATGACCGCCCATGCTGCACTGGCCTAGAGGGCTGCTGGCGAGGCACGCATAGCAGGGTGCCATGTTGGGGTCGTCATTCAGCAGAAAGACACCCACTATGCCGCAGAGCAGCTCGTTGATCGGGATGTCCCCAGTGCAGAATCGCCCGATGGCGGCCGCGAAGGTGCCAATCACACAAAGCCGAATCTTACGCAGCTTCTCTTGCATCTCCGGCGTGGGCGGGCCTGGCAGTGGAAGCGGTCCTCCCATTGGGGGCAGCATGGCTGAGCGGCCCCGACATCAAACGCGCAAATTGCTGGATTCCCTTATCACTCTGGGGCTAAGCTCAAAGAACCATTTCTGGGTCGCGTCAAGGGCCGTGTATCTTTCACCTCTCTGGAGCCAAGGCTAGCAAATATTGCGGGCAACGATCAATCATGATCAAACATGGCTGTGCAAGAGCGTCAGTGTCAGCCCACGTCGCCTGTCACATGGACTTGGCCTTGAAAACTGACGGAGTGAAACGGGGCCACGCTTCCATGGCAAGCTCCGGTCAGATGGCACCCTTCCCTTGGCACGCCAAAAGGAATGCCAGGACCAGGGCACCGAGCCCTGCAAAGCTCACGACCTGGAAGCGAGCACTTCCGACTTCCGAGCACCGGGCACCGAGCACCGGACCGGACCGGACCGGACCTGGGGCCGCGGCTTCCCGGTGCGATCGGTCGCCCATCAAAGCCAGCTGTGGGTAAACCGCCACGTAGAGCGCACAAAGAACCCCCAACCTGGCACGGCACGCAGGAGCGAAGAAAAGGCGCACTTGGCGGGGCGGCAGGCAACCGACCCACGCAAGGACTGCACCCTTGAACCTCAATTGACTCAAGTCCGTGCTCTCAATTCCATGACCCCTTTGCATTCCGGGTGCGCAGCAGGGTGCGCAGCATCGTCTGGATCAAGTCGAAGATTGCACACCAGCAGCGGCAACTGGCCCCAGCATCGCAACGTCTCACTTTGCCAATGTGCAAACTAAGGGCTGACTAGACCGTTTCTCCGTCCTGAGCATGTCGAAGTTTCTGCTTGCGGAAGTGCGCAACTGAGTGCTGGTCCGATGGCGTCTTCCACAACGAGAACTTGGCCCCGGCAGCTCGGCAATTCTGGCGGAGCAAAGCAAACAGCTCGCGGAGTCGAAGCGAGTCGCCTGCAGTCGCTTGGCTTCGCCCTGCTTGCAGAACTCCTGGCGTACGGCCCCAAGCCAGCCCCCAAAGCGGCTCAACAGCGGCTCCTGAACCACCAGCGGCAGGAGCGACGCTTGGAAGGTCTCCCGCGCGCAACTGGCGGGCGCCGTCGCGTCTGGGCATGCCCTTTAAACTCAGCCGACCTCCCTCCCCGTGAAATTGGCAGAGCCCTTCATTTCGAACTTGCGCCATTCGCGAATGGCATCCCTTGGGGACTTGCAAGGTTCCACGGATGGAAGACGCTTGGTATGGCATACCGTAAGCAGAGTTGAATTTGGCCCAGGTTAGTTGTCCTGGGAAAAGCATGGCAGAGCATCTGATGGCAATCTGCCAGCGTCGAGAAGCTGAAAAAGTGGCAACTATTGCCTTTGGCACGGCCACGGTACTACGAAGCCGCTATTCCCCACATGCAAATTGCCATATGAAGGTTTGCAACCGGGGAACATGGGCGCACTCAGCCACTCAGGCCAGTCTTCAAGACAGCTTGGGACCCAATTTGCCCCATGCCAAAAACTGAAATGCTGACGGTATCCCGCCAGCCCTGCAAACAGCTCATTCAGTCATTCGTAAGTGTCTGAACTTTCGTCGACGCCTGCGCGGGACACGCGTATGGCCGGTTCGATCTCAGCAAAAGGAAAACTGGCCCTTCAGCCCTCCTGTCACACCCAGGAAACTAAAAGAGACACAGATGTGCTGTCGAGGCAACATCTCAAGACTACATCATCCCCCGCCTTCCGTGGAGAAGGCCAGGGCCGCATGTGAGACCATGGCCGTGCGCCGCACGATGCCCTGAAGGCCTCGACGTGAAACCGAAACTCGGACAAAAGTTATTTTATGTAATTTCACGTCATTCTATGTCATCCTACGTCCTACGTGATCTTGGCGCTTCAGGCGCCGGCACTGCGCTACGCGCTGATGTTCTCGCTTGCTGGCGCTCTGCCTGTCGCTCGACCCTAACCCGAAAGGATCGAGTCTCGCGGCCTGCCATCTGCCACCAGCGACATCAACGTCTGCGCCGGCTTGCCCCGCCGTGGCGAGCCTGGCACACCCGATCTCCCTGAAGGAGCCTTCGAACCGGGCCTTCCAGGGCTGGCGCAGAGCTGGAGCTCTGCAGCCCTGAGGCCAGGGGGGCCAGGCGGGCCAGGGCCATGGGGGCCATCCAGTCTGTTTTGGTGCCTCACATTTCACATGTATATTAATTAGCCCATATTAGCCCTTCACGGCCGTCGCGGCCTTCACGCTTCTCTGTTATCTCACTCTTCATATCTCATTCCACGTCCCTAGCTCGAGCTTCAACGCGCCTCGCGTGAGGCACACGGAGGGGGCCAGCAGCTCGCGCATCCTCAAATGCGACACGACGAGAAAACAAATCCGAGGAAAACGAGTTTCGAAAATCGGAGGAATCTGTTTGGAATCTTTCGAAAATCGGCCAAAGCGAAAGCGAGGCAAGGCGATTCGCTTGCGCGTCCTTGGGGTGCCCTCGAAGTCGCCTCACTCGCTCTCGACCCATGCCCGACCGCCCGAATCCGCCGAGACGTGCACGCGGAAGCCAGGAGGGCTGGGTAGCACAACGCCGTGGCGAAGCACGCGCCTCGGCCAACAGCCAACCTCTCTCTCCCTCTCTCTCTTCAGGAGCGCATGCCACGCTTAGACATGAGACACACTTGATGGTGAGTTTGCCTCACACAGCCTTTCACTGAAGCACACTTCCCTTCTTCCCACGCAATGGATGTGAAGCTTTCCCCTGTGAAGCTCAAGCAACTGCCTTTGAACCTCCACCAGTAGCCCCAAATTAACTCATTGCACAATGCGGAGGCTGGTAGTGTGACAGAGCCACAGGCACTTCCACTCTTTTTAGCTAGGCGGCTTTAGATGGCCTGGACGTCGAATACCTGGGCCATGAACAGAGTGAACGCAGGACATGCAGTGAACGCAGTGAACGCAGTGAACGCAGCGCACGCAGCGCACGCATGTCTGTAAACGTAGCAAACGCAGTGAACGCAGCGAACGCAGTGAACCGCAGAGAGCGCAGTGAACCGCAGTGAGCGCATGTCTGTAAACGCAACAAACGCAGCAAACGCAGTGAACGCAGGAAACGCAGTGAACGCACGTGAACGCAGCGAACGCAGCGCACGCAGGAAATGCAGTGAACGCACGTGAACGCAGCGAACGCAGTGAACCGCAGAGAGCGCAGGGAGCGCAGTGAACGCATGTCTGTAAAGGCAGCAAACGCAATGAACGCAGTGAACGCAGGAAATGCAGTGAACGCACGTGAACGCAGCAAACGCAGTGAACCGCAGAGAGCGCACGGAGCGTGCTCAACTCTGGTTGTATTTTAGTGAGAGCTTGCAACGCAGTGAACGCAGCGAATGCAGTAAACTGCAGTGTGAACAAAGTCGCTATAACGCAGGAAACGACATGATCCTCGATAAACGCAGCGAACTCCATCAAACGCAGCAAGAAAAGTAAACCGCAGTGAACGCGCGGAACACAGTGAAGGCAGGGAACGCAGTGAGCGCAGGAACGCAGTGAAAGCAGGGAACGCAGGTAACGCAGGGGACGCAGGGAACGGGTGAACGCAAGGAACGCGGTGAACGCAGGGAACGCGGTCAACGCAGTGAACGCGCGGAACACAGCGAACGCAGGAAAAGCAAAGAACGCAGTAAACGCAGGGAACGCAGCGAAGGCAGTGAACGCAGCGAAGGCAGCAACCACAGGAACGCAGGGAACGCAGGGAACGCAAACGCAGGGAACGCAGGGAACGCAGGAAACGCAGGGAACGCAGGGAACGCAGGGAACGCAGGGAACGCAGGGAACGCAGCGCACACAGGGAACGCAGGGAACGCAGTGAACGCAGCAACCGCAGTGAACGCAGGGAGCGCAGCAAACGCAGGGAACGCAGGGAACGCTGAAGGCAGGGAATGCAGTGAACGCAGGGAACGCAGTAAAGACAGGGAACGCAGTGAACGCAAGGAGCGCAGTGAACGCAGCGAACGCAGGGAACGCAGTGAAGGCAGGGAATGCAGTGAACGCAGGGAACGCAGTGAACGCAGTGAACGCAGGGAGCGCAGGGAACGCAGTGAACGCAGGGAACGCATGGAGCGCAGCGAGCGCAGGGCAACGCAGTGAACGCAGGGCAACGCAGTGAACGCAGGACACACAATGAACGCAGGCAGCGCGGTGAACGCAGGGAACGGAGCGAAGGCAGGGAACGCAGTGAACGCACGGAACGCAGTGAACGCAGGGAACGCGGTGAACGCAGGGAACGCAGTGAAAGCAGGGAACTTAGTGAACTAACGCAGGGAACGCGGTGAACGCAGGGAACGCAGTGAACGCAGGGAACTTAGTGAACTAACGCAGGGAACGCGGTGAACGCAGGGAACTCAGTGAAGGCAGGGAATGCAGCGAAGTCAGGGAACGCAGTGAACGCAGTGAACGCAGGGAACGCAGTGAACGCAGGGAACGCAGTGAACGCAGGAAACGCAGTGAACCGCAGAGAGCGCAGTGAACCGCAGTGAGCGCATGTCTGTAAACGCAACAAACGCAGCAAACGCAGTGAACGCAGGAAACTCAGTGAACGCAGTGAACGCAGGGAACGCAGTGAACGCAGGAAACGCAATGAACGCAGTGAACGCAGGAAACGCAGTGAACGCAGGGAACGCAGTGAACGCAGGGAACGCAGTGAACGCAGGAAACGCAGTGAACGCAGGGAACGCAGTGAACGCAGGGAACGCAGTGAGCGCAAAAAACGCAGTGGACGCAGGGAAGGCAGGGAACTCAGCAGGAAACGCAGTGAACGCAGGGAACGCAGTGAACGCAGGGAACGCAGTGAACGCAGGGAACGCAGTGAACGCAGGAAACGCAGTGAACGCAGTGAACGCAGTGAACGCAGGGAACGCAGTGAACGCAGGGAACGCAGTGAACGCAGGAAACGCAATGAACGCAGGGAACGCAGTGAACGCAGGGAACTCAGTGAAGGCAGGGAATGCAGCGAAGTCAGGGAACGCAGTGAACGCAGGGAACGCAGTGAACGCAGGAAACGCAGTGAACGCAAGGAACGCAGTGCACGCAGGGAACGCAGTGATCGCAGGAAATGCAGTGAATGCAGGGAATGCAGCGAAGTCAGGGAACGCAGTGAACGCAGGGAACTCAGTAAAGGCAGGGAATGCAGCGAAGTCAGGGAACGCAGTGAACGCAGGGAACTCAGTGAAGGCAGGGAAGGCAGCGAAGTCAGGGAACGCAGCGAACGCAGGAAACGCAGTGAACGCAGGGAACGCAGTGAACGCAGGAAACGCAGTGAACGCAGGGAAACTCAGTGAAGGCAGGGAATGCAGCGAAGTAAGGGAACGCAGTGAACGCAGGGAACTCAGTGAAGGCAGGGAATGCAGCGAAGTCAGGGAACGCAGCGAACGCAGGGAACGCAGTGAACGCAGGAAACGCAGTAAACGCAGGGAACGCAGTGAACGCAGGGAACGCAGTGAACGCAGGGAACGCAGTGAACGCAGGAAACGCAGGAAACGCAGTGAACGCAGGGAACGCAGTGAACGCAGGGAACGCAGTGAAGGCAGGGAATGCAGCGAAGTCAGGGAACGCAGTGAACGCAGGGAACGCAGTGAAGCAGGGAACAGGGAACGCAGTGAACGCAGGGAACGCAGTGAGCGCAGCAAACGCAGTGAACACAGGGAACGCAGTGATCGCAGGGAACGTGAACGCAGGGAACGCCGTGAACGCAGGAAACGCAGTGATTGAGGGAACGCAGTGATCGCAGGGAACGCAGTGAACGCAGGAAACGCAGTGAACGCAGGGAACGCAGTGATGGCAGGGAACGCAGTGAAGCAGGGAACTCAGTGAAGGCAGGGAACGCAGCGAAGTCAGGGAACGCAGTGATCGCAGGGAACGCAGTGAACGCAGGGAACGCAGGGAACGCAGTGATCGCAGGGAACGCAGTGAACGCAGGGAACGCAGTGATCGCAGGGAACGCAGTGAACGCAGGGAACGCAGTGAACGCAGGGAACGCAGTGAACGCAGGGAACGCAGTGAACGCAGGGAACGCAGGGAACGCAGTGAACGCAGGGAACGCAGTGAACGCAGGGAACGCAGTGAACGCAGGGAACGCAGGGAACGCAGGGAACGCAGTGATCGCAGGGAACGCAGTGAACGCAGGGAACGCAGTGATCGCAGGAAACGCAGTGAACGCAGGGAACGCAGTGAACGCAGGGAACGCAGTGATCGCAGGGAACGCAGTGAAAGCAGTGAACGCAGTGATCGCAGGGAACGCACGGAACGCAGGGATCGCAGGGAACGCAGTGAACGCAGTGAACGCAGTGTTCGCAGGGAACGCAGGGAACGCGGTGATCGCAGGGAACGCAGGGAACGCAGGGAACGCAGGAACGCAGTGAACGCAGGGAAACTCAGTGAAGGCAGGGAATGCAGCGAAGTAAGGGAACGCAGTGAACGCAGGGAACTCAGTGAAGGCAGGGAACGCAGTGAAAGCAGTGAACGCAGTGATCGCAGGGAACGCACGGAACGCAGGGATCGCAGGGAACGCAGTGAACGCAGGGAACGCAGTGATCGCAGGGAACGCAGTGAACGCAGGGAACGCAGGGAACGCAGGGAACGCAGTGAACGCAGTGTTCGCAGGGAACGCAGGGAACGCAGGGAACGCAGGGAACGCAGTGATCGCAGGGAACGCAGGGAACGCAGTCAACGCAGGAAACGCAGTGAACGCAGGGAACGCAGTGATCGCACAGAACGCAGTGAACGCAGGGAACGCAGGGAACGCAGTGAACGCAGGGAACGCAGTGAACGCAGGGAACGCAGTGATCGCAGTGAACGCAGTGAACGCAGTGATCGCAGTGACCGCATGGAACGCAGTGAGCGCAGGGAACGCAGGGAACGCAGTGAACGCAGGGAACGCAGTGAACGCAGGGAACGCAGTGATCGCAGGAAACGCAGTGAACGCAGGGAACGCAGTGAACGCAGGGAACGCAGTGATCGCAGGGAACGCAGGGAACGCAGGGAACGCAGGGAACGCAGTGAACGCAGTGATCGCAGGGAACGCAGTGATCGCAGGGAACGCAGTGAACGCAGGGAACATGGTATAGGTTTAGATATTGAGGCTTTGAGGCACGGGCGCAGTCCTGGACCTTGCAGATCCGGAGCGTCCTCACAAAAGTCCCAGTCTCACGCAAGAAACAATAGCCACATCCAATTGCCCTCGGAGAGTCCCGGTCCTTTGTCCCTGGAGGAAGTTCGGAGACGTCGTTGCGCCAGCACAGGGGGGTAGTTGCACACCGCCTCCTGGGCTACCTAAGAATTGGACAGCCACAAGTTGCATGGGAGATGTTCCTTCTACTTTCGTCGCCTCAACCTCCCGTTTTCGGCCTCCCCAAAAACACGCTGCCAGCCCTCCCGACACCTCCGGACACCTGAACCCCCGGCCTTCCGTGCCATGAAGGGCGCAGGGCTCAGCGGCCGCCGCAGGCGCCGCAGCGCTGCCCTGTGCAGCAGCACCTCCCCCTGAGCGCTTCGTGCCGTTTGACAAAGGGCTGCACGCAGGAAAGCACAGTGCATGAAAAAACGGAACACCCGGCGGACCGGGCGCCCAAAAATGATCACAATGAAGCAGATCACTGACTATGGTTTGTGGTAGCGCAATTTGGCAATGCAGTTTACAACTGGGCGCCAGTGCCACTGCCGAATGAAATGTGATTTTTGCTGCAACCACCGGCCTCTCCAATGGTCGATGCCAAGTCTGCGAGGTGAGCCTAGGGCAACGAACGACATCGACCATACGACCGCTCTCCAAAGATTTCACCGTCGCATGTTGCAGCCACAGCAGCTGTATTCCATGGACGAAGGCTGAAGGGGTCGATCTCCATTGCGACATCTGGGGCTCAAGACTTCGTGCGTGTTCGGATGGTCTTGCTGTCATTTATGGTGAGTCATGTTGCAAACTGACGGCACCAAACACTCTCCTGAACCACTGAGCCATGCCCGGCTTCAGCTCATGCAGACTGTTACACTCAACTTTAAAGGTGACAGACATGTGAAAAGTCCTCAACGACCCCCGGACTTGACAGATTCCAAAATTTGTCGGAGCAGTCTATGTTCTGCAGCGACATGGTGAACCATTATCCTCTAAAAATGGCCTTGTGAAGCTGTCTGACACGGAAACTGGACAGGAAGCACACTGGAACGGAAGCCTTGCAAGGAACATACAAGGGAGATGCATTGAAGCGCTGCAATGCCGGCGTGGCCTTACACCAGCCTGAGCACCGTACGGGGTTCGTAGCTTCTTTTGGCCTCTCAGGCTCCAGCAGGCAGCAGCTGGCACTGCTCTTCGTTCCAGGTGGAGACAAAGGCGGCGTGCAAGGTCTGCGCAACCGGCAAGTGGCACACATGAGCACTCACATGACTGATCGTGTGACATGGGCCAAAGGCGCCCTTTGCGACACGCGTGAGGCATCGTGTGAGGCATCGTGTGCATCGTGTGAGGCATTGCCTGGAAGCTGTCCTGCATCTGCGCATCGCTCGTGAGCTCCTGGATGCCAAGAAACCCAAATCGCTCGCACATCGATCGCACGCCTCCCAGGTGCTCAGCTCAGCAAGCTCCTGGAGAACGTGCGCCTGTCATTCCAAGTCGCGGTCCAAACAAAAGGAAACTATGTTCCTTTCCTAATTCTTGCTTCTTCCTTGATTTTGAGTGAGGCCTGCAGCGCGAGCAGTGCCGCAGCACAAAGGCCGTAGGCCAGGGCAAGGCCCGGCGCCGGCCCGCGCATCAGGCGCAGGCCTGGGTCCGTGTTCGATGGACGGAGAATTCTGAACACTGTGAAGGGAGTGTCGCTGTCTCACACCGTCAGGCTCCAGCCCAAAGAAGCCGTGACGCACAGGAAGAAGGAGAGGAGCCTCCGACCCAGAGTGCCAGTCTCGAGTGTCTCGGGTCTCTCGTCCAATTCAATTCGGAAAGTACCCGGCGCAGGCATAAAGCACACCCAGGCGTCGATGCCGAGCTCTGGAGGAACTGCAGGCCCAACCTCGGACACACAAGACACATCGAGGTGCCGCTTCGCCGAAAACCCGAAAAACCCGAAAACCCGACAACCCCCAGCCTCGAAGGGTGTGAGCAACACACGCAGAGCCAAATAGTAAGCCTGCCCTGCACTGCTGGCCACGTCCCCTTGGCTATTGCCCGTTGCGACGTTGCATAGGTCGTCTCAGAACCGGACGAAAGGAAGCCCAGTGGCCCTGACGGGTCGCAGTCTGCCGTGCGGTGTCTCATGTTGACTCGTTCCTGCTGCTGCAGCTGGAAGGCCATGCTGGCGGCGTTCAGGAAGCCCAGGCTGCCGACGAACATCAGGAGCCAGTGCATCAGCCCGGCCGCCCGGGCGCACATCTCGGTGCGAAGTTTTGTGAGGGCAAAGCGGGAAGAAAAACCACCCACATATCTGGGTGAGCCGACCGGTGCCGGCTCCTGGCAAGCTTGCACAAAACCTAGATGCTGTCCACCCTTAGCAAGTAAGTCACGCCGTACTCTGCCTGCGCAGCCATGATGCCCTACATCTTGGCAAGTGGCGGCACGCTCGTATTCGAATCCAGCAACTCCGTGACGATGTCAGCTCAACATGTCTAACTTCAGCACAGTTGGCTCAGGCTTGAGGTCAGTATTGGAATTTGTTCCGGGGTGCCATACGCATTGAGTTTGTGTTAGATTGTGGTGGCCTTGAGCAATGCATCATATGCTTTCACCACCCCCGCAAGGCCGCCGCCGCAGTGCTTTCCTTGTCTTTCCGCGGAGCGCCGTTGACGTGTTGCTTTGTTGCTGTCAATCCGTTGCCATGGCCAGCTGAAGCTGCAGCTTTGGCAGGGACATGGGCGCGATCGCCCAATGGAGGCGGCTCCCTGACTCTTGGGTCATTGGCAGGTGAAACGAGCCCCGAGTTTTGGTGCTCGGTGCATCTCCGCTCTCAGACTTTCACGGCATTGATCTCAGCTCCAGAAATGGTGTCGAGCAACACGGGCAAGGCGGGGTTCAAAAACACACATTAATATGTTTTGATTTAAAACAGTCGAAAAGCAGATTGTATGTTTGCCTTTTGCCAATCGGGCGGTTCTGGAGGCGCACGCGGTCTTGCGAGAGCAGCTGAGCCACGTCGGTCTGGATGCTCTTGTCGCAGCGATCCTGGTCCGCTCCCGTGTGCATTCGGAGCTCAGTGACCCTGTTCACGTTCCGTGCGGGGATTCCGGGATCGGAAGGCTGGGACCTCACCTGCGTCGACCCATTCGACTTAGCCCGGTCCTTGGCTGTGAAACCTGTCTCATCCTGAGCAAAACTGGATCTGCGCAAGAGGCCAAGAGGCCAAGAGGCCAAACGCCCAAATTTGTGTCTCCCAACTCTCTTCAATTTCGCCATGGTCAGAGACATGTCCACTTTTTTCAGAGACATATTTGTTTCCCGGAGAAAGAACCCTCCGAATTGTTCCTGGCTCGTGTTTCCCTTCAACTTTTCTGTCTTTTTCTCGGGTCGCGTCGGTTCTTCGGGCTCTCTTCTCTTCGTGTCTTTTTTTCTCCCTTCCGACTTCCATTTCCATTTCTTGTTCCGACTTCCGTTTCCGTTTCCGACTTTTCTCTTCTCTTCTTCTATTTCTCTTCTTCTCTTCTTTCCTTCTTGCTCTCCTTTTTCCGTTCCTCTTTCCGTCCTTCTCTCTCGTCTCTTTCTCCCGCTCCTTGCACCAGGGCATGGCCCCGTTGCTCAGCAGCAGCTTCGCCACGTTCAGGTGGCCCTGGCTTTGAAATCAAGAAGAGACTCCAACAAAGGAAAGAATAACGCGAAAATAAGAGAAAACTAAGGGAAGAAACGCGAAAATGAGATAAAAGAAGACTAAAATAATAAAAAAGATATGTACCAAGACAAAGAAGAGACTCGGAGGAACTTCGTTCGAAGGAACTTCCAAATTCAGCCGAATCCGCGAGATCCGAAGAAAGCTCCAACCGAATCCGAATCCCTCCACGAAAAAACAAATCCGACGTCGACAAGCACCTCCTCCACTGCAAGCATCAGCGGAGTGGAGAAATCATTCCTGAGCTTTTCCCTCAAGCACCCAAAGTGCGCCAGACTCAACATGACTGCGGCTGTGAAACAACGTGCTGTTCACATCGCTGCTGTGGTGCAGGAGGAATTTGCAAACCTTCAAAAGGTGTAAGTCACAGTGTCCCACACAGTCGACCTTGCCTCCAGCTGTCCAGCTGCGGCTGTGTAGTGAAGAGCACTCCAACCGTGGGTGTCGACAGCGTTCACGCCTGCTGAAACGGACATCTTCCGCGCGGGGGCACCCTGTCAGACTCTCTGGGGTGGAGGCTGGCTCCCTCTGTCACGGATCTCTCCATGGCCTGACTTGCCAAGCGACCGAATCTGTTCAATGTGCGCAAGGCGTCCGTTCCCATCTGTACTTACTCTCGATTTTGGCGAAGCGGGCAAGCGCTTGCTGAAGCCTCTACAAATCGCGAGCGCGAGCCCGAAGCTCGGGTGAAACTCTGAAAGTGAAACTGGGCGTGAGACGCATCGGTCTCCTGCGCTATCAAATGCCTTCGCCGCTCCTGGAGACCAAGCACAACATGTCAGGCAAAGGTAGGTTTGCGACTCATGCGTCAAATGCAAACCTTTGCCACGTCCAGAAAGCCCTGCCTTGAGGAGCGCAACTGAACGCTCGTGCTGTGGGCAGAGAGTGGGCCCTTCGAAGGCTCAAGCGAAGCGCATGCCCTGTTTGCCGGTCTGTCAGATTGCCCTGCGGTTTATCTGCCCGTCTCGTGTTCTGCAAACTTGCTTGGAGTTTTGTCTGCGCGTCTCGGCCTCTGCCAGCTCCACGCACTTGGAGAACTCGAGGTCGCGAGCTTCATCCTGAAGTGGAAGGCGAAGGCCATGAAAGGGTGGCACTGCAAGCCGCCTTCTCCCCAGAAGTCAGCAAAGCCATTCCAACCTGCAATACGATATCGTCCAAAGCACGCGGCATTCACTTGCAATATGCCGGGAGGGCCATCATTAAGAGAATGCAAGCGGTGTACCCCGCAAACTTCCACCATGGAGCATCATCCATCTCACCCAGCACGACAATGGCACTCAGGCCTGTCAGCGAATCCAAATCGGAAAGCTCCGTGCGAGGGCCAGGCCCCAGGCTGTTGGTTGCGATGTTGGAGCCCATATACACCTTGGGCTCCGGGTGCGAGCGTGGCAAGCTTGACAAGCTTGGCAACTTCAGCCAGGCTGCTGTAACCATGAAGAGGGCCTCATGCTGCTGCATGCCTCTGGAGATGTAGTACAGGTTGCCTGCAATGAAATCAACAGCAAGCAGCTTCTGTAGGCCCCCCGGTAACTCAGTAACTCCTACCGGCACTTGAAAAGGCGCACTCCACGTTTCGCTCTCCCTTTCTTCATTTCGAGGATCCGAGGAGCTGGTGGAGAAGAAGACAGCGCCGCAAAGGCAGACCCACGCCACCCAGTGGTCCCAGGCAGCACCTCAGACGCTGCGCACCGAGCGAGAATCAAACTGGTGCACACTTTTTTTTCGCCTATGGGCCAGATGCTTTTACACCATCCAAACGAAACCTCTGCATGCTTGCTTTCTAGCCCGACTTGTATTCCTGCCTTTTCGGCCTCTCCTGCCGTTCCTGCCTTTCCTGGGCCACCTTAAAACAAACTGATGAAAGAGACATGGTTCGATTGGGTGGTGCCTTGTCTTGTGCTCTGGCGCGTCTGGTGCTGGTGTCCCGTCTTGCAGGTTGTCTAGTTCCTCTGGCATTTGCGAACTGTCCACCTCGAGCCTTTGTCACCCACGCTCTCGCGCTCACGCTGGCGCTGGCGCTCTCCCTCTCTCTCTCTCGCTCGCTCTGAGCTCGGAACAGTTCCCCGAGACGCACTGCTCTGTGAGCACTGCTGTGATCTTGGTACACCACATGTTGCCTCGGGAGCTGTGTGGCGTGAACTGAGCTCTGCGCGTGCAACACGACGCACGCGCAAATACCGAGAGAAAGAGAGAAAAGAGAGAAAGAGAGACAAAAGAAAATATGAGAAAGCCTGTGGGCACATCAAAATTGGCCACGGCACCCGCCAAAGAGCCCGCCGTGGCTCCCAGGCTGAAGCCACGCACGGGGGAGCCCTTCTCGTATCTCGTCTGCACCTTCCGACCGAAACTCTCACGAAACCGGGTGAAATTCCGACCCCGACGGCAAGCATCAATTTGCTATAACTCCCAATCCCCCATATGTATCCATATGTCCCCTATCCTCAGCAACTCATTCCCTTCTTCACTCCATGCGCAAACACAAAAATATGAGCGCGTGGCGGCGACATTCCACAAATACCTGTGCCAGACCCCGCATCTCACAACTCAAATAGCTGCTGAGCTTGGCACCATGCGATGAAGCAAAGGGCGTAGAGCATGGTCCGATTCTGCAGTAAAACCATCTCCACATACTCAGCTGTCCACTCAACCTTCCAGGCCAATGATATATGTTCATCGGCTCGCTCCGAGTGACTGCCGGTTCAGGAAATACGCTGAAGAACTGCACACGTCCAGTCCTCGTTAATCTGCCTGAAGAGTACCTCAACAGAAAAGCATAGCGCACACTGCCGCTTTGGTGGCCTTGTGAGTGCGAGATCGCTTGGTTTCAGGGCAGGCCGCAGATGCTGTCGCGGCGAAGAAGATGATGCAGGTGCTCAGCAGCCGCCGAAACGTGAGAGTCTCGTTTAGAGAGCACCTGCCGAAACCGAATCGCCGGCGGCACTCCGTGTCTCGAATTTGGTCCCAGAGGCGGCGCGATCACGGTGTTCCAGACCTCACATCTAACCGCATCTCTCCTCGTCTAACCGTATCTACGCCCGGGCTCTGGAGCCCGTCTGAACTCGCTGGGGCCGGGGCGATGTCCATGCCCGTCACCGGCGCGATGACGGAGGCCGGGGCTAGCGCGTAGCCCGCCAGGTCGCAGAGCGGGTTCAACGCCACTTGCAGGGCAAGGCCTAAGCTAAAACGGTCAAACAAGCAAGCAAAAGCGGCAGAAGTGGAGAGGGAGGGAAAAAGCTATTGAACAAAAGAAACATCATGTTCTGAAACATGGCTGAGTCGGTGGGGCCAATGACGAAACTCGTAGATTTCCACCTCAGGCACTTGCCAACGGTGAACATAATAGTACTTTCGCGATCTTGTCTTTCCTAGCGGGCACATGCACTCGATGCGTTGCATACCATTGACAAGGTTGCAAGTATCCTGAGCAACCTCAAAGCCGGCGTTTGGAAAATGCAAAAGCTCCCTCAAATGCTCGGCAGCTGCGCTCACGTCCTGCTTGTACATTTCAGATCTTCTGATCATCTGCTTGCCGATGGTACCCACGAGGGTTCCAAACACTGCAAGGAGAACCTGCCAATTCCATCCAGCCAGTCAGACACGGCGACTATTTAAGCCCGGTACCCCGAGAAGCCACAAGTTCTTGTCCTGCTCCACATACCCAGTAGCCTCAAGAAGACTGGAAACACCTTCGGATCGATGCTTTGCTTTCCGAGGGGCATTGACCACTTGCGCGAAGCTCTCTGGTGGAGCTGGCCGGCCTTGTCGCATTGAACATCGCGTTGCATACGTGAAGAGCATGCGGAAAGCACACGCCCAAGAGCACGGCTGATGAGGCCATCCAGCTCATTCATGGGAACAAGGATAGTGCTTGACGTGTGCTTGTGAGAGTTGACAGACATGTGTGCTTGTGCTGCGCAAGCTCCAAAAGTTCTGCAAAGCTTGGGGCAGAGCGGCTCATATCTCTCAAACTCCGGCATGGGCCCGGGCGGCCAACTCCATCCGAATCATGTCCCTCTGCTCAATACCGGCTGATGCTGAGCCCGATGTTCAAAGTCAGCCTCCATGTCGCCCTGTCTGGCTGCCTCCAGGAGCCTAAGCCGTCACTGATCTCCCACTGCATTGGAGATGCAGGATGGAGATGCACGTGACATGTGTCATTTGAGAAACAAGGCAATGTCGCAATCACGTCGCATGTCGCACAGTCGCCTGGCGTTCACCGCCGGCGGTCCCCCATCTGCGTTGATGCAGCGTCGGCACCTCGGAGAAATGAAAGCTCGAGCCCGCCTTGCACCTGCCCCGAAGGCTGCGTCACTTTGGGTTTCGACAAAGATGAAGATTGCTTTTTGTCGGGCGTTTCCCTTTAACCAAACGCGCCTTTTGCGTGTGGGATTTGGGATTTGCATGGACCCCGTTGCAGACGCTGAGGTCGGCACTCGGCAGTGCCCAGGACGCTGCATGAGCCGCCCATGCCATGCAGCGGAAGTGTCTTGTCTGTGTCTCTCTCGTGGGCTGCCCCATCGGGCGCTTCGCTGCCAAAGACTTTCGCGCAACAGGCTGGGGCTAAGTTGAGGCTGTGGCTGTTGAGGCTGCTGAGGGTGCTGGCGTAGACCCAGTCGAGCGCTCATGGTAAGCTGGCTCGCTGTGACCCCATAGCTTGAATTCCAGCTGAAGCAGACATGTGCGCGCAAAAAAGAAAAGGCAATCGGGGCGCGCCTTTTTCAACGCTTGACCTTTCACCCTTCCGGGTAACGGCAAATTGCGCTGGACCTCAAGGCGAAGCTCGAGCCTGCGGATCCGATATCATTCCCCCGGTGTGAGCCTTGTCCGTGCTGTGCTGTGTCTGTGCTGTCTGCGCTGTCTGTGCTCTCCGTGCCCGTCCTTTCATGCCTCTCAGCAGAGATCCAATGTCCTGCACTCCGGGCTGCTCGTTAGCAGCCCTCGGGTCTTCACACTGTTTACACTCCCGGACCAACATATTCAACTGAGGGATCCGATGATGGATCAACGCTGCAGTACTGCACAGTGTGGATACCCTGGCAAAGTGCGCGGCACACGCATTTACAGCACACACCGTGCTGTAAAGGGCAAGAAAGATCTGTTGCTGCACAGAGGCTGCTTGAACTCAACTTCATGCTCCCATGTCGCCACTGCGCAGCTAATGTTCCGGTGAACAACAGATGAGTCCCACATGGGATGATCTCGTCAGACCCAAAGACTTTGGCTATGAGAGCTATCGCACCCAATCGGAGAACTCGTGGATCATCCCAAAGCTCGGATGCCAGGCTCAGCCACTTCGGTGCCTCAGGCGGGAACCCAGAAGCCGGGACTGAGAGACTGAGAGGCGTTCCCCGCCTACGGCAGCTGCAACTCGAGGGACGAGGCTGCGACCTGCGACGGCGAGAACGCAAGAGAACAGAAGAAAAAGCAAAGAGAAACAAATGACGAATCCAGAACCGTCGAAGCGTACCTTGCCTTGCCCCAGGCCAGGAGCAGCCCGAGCACCCAGTCCCGCGTGGCGCCGCGCAGGACGGTCCGCGCATAGGGCAGGCAACACATCGGCAGGAGTGCGGCGAGCACCTCAAACGAGACGCAGTAAAGTTCATTCAGAGAAACCATCTTTGCTCAAACGAAACGTCGCGATCGGAACGCAAAGGCCCCGGCTCTCCGTTGCACATCTGAAAGGGGCCCAGGCGCCTGCACGGGAGCGGCACGACTTCTGGCAAAGCGGAGTGGCTACGGTCCGACGGTCCGACGGTCCGACAGTCCGACTGTCCGACGGTCCTGCAGTAGCTTCAGCGGCCGCTCTACGGAGAGCTTCGAGGAGACGTTGCTGCGGCCTTTGCCCAAAGACACGACCTCAGTGTGCAAAGAGCAAGGCCTTTGTATGCAAAAACGACACGAAACAATTCAACGGGAAACCGGGATGGAAATCAGTTGAAGCGCTGGACGTAGTTCTATCGAGCTCGGCACAGTTTCAGTCTTGTACCCGACGCATGTTCGGGGACATCTAATCACCTGAAAAAAATGCGCCGAGACTGTGAGCTTTGCAGTTGCAGTTGCCCCAAGTCCTGGTAGGTCCGGCCTCGCTGGTTGGCTTGGACAGCTCCAAGATGTGCTGGAGGAGCACCCTCTTGCACCTGAAACGGAATCCGCGCGAAGCCGACTAGGTTTCCTGGGCCAGGTGGTTCTGTGTCACTCTTGTGAGCCCCCCCGCGCAAACTCGCGCTGCTGCGGGTTGGGCAAAAGCACGGCTAGGAATTGGAGGAGCAGCCACCTAGCCAAACCACTACAGCTGCTCACTTTCCCTCTCTCTTTCTCTCTCTCTCTCTCTCTCTCTTGCTGTCTTTCAGGTTCACCTGGACTGCAGGTACGGCCGGAGCTTGCGGCACAGAAGAGCGTGCACCTACATTGCGCAAGGACCATTCGCCATGTTGAACCCGACGCTAAGACGCTAAGGAGAATGCGACAAGGGCTGGTAGAAGAGACACCTCGGGAGCTGTCTCTTCAAATTACACTAGAGCGGCTGAGCGGCCAAAAGAACCACCAAGCTGCCCCGCTGCTTTGTCGTAAGCTCGAAGTGCCACAGGCCGGAAAAAGCGGGGACCCTCTGTGTGGGCAGCCTGAGAGAAGTGGCGAGCGAGTGGGGGCCCAAGTTGCAACTTCTCTGCCTCTGTGACCCAACTGAAGGTGTCGAAAGCATTGCTGCGGCTCTCTACCTGGCAGTCTCAATCTCTGTAAAACCGAAGGCCCTTTCGAGCTGACGCTTGTGAGCCAGCTGCATCTCACGCACCGCGCCGCACCGTGCCTCCAGCTGCAGCCCACAAAGGCGGTTGGTGAACTTCCGATTCTCCGCCCGTAGCCTGTCTCCCCATCTCTCCCCATCTCTCCGCATCTCTCTGCCGCAACTCCCCGCATCTCTCCGCGTCTCTCCACGTCTCTCCGCGTCTCTCCCCATCTGGCCATCAATGCCAGCCAGCTGCTTGCGGCCAAGAAAGCTGCAACATCCAGTCAGCCAACAGCAAACTGGATCGCGACTTTGCAGCCCCTCGCAAGTACCATCAAGAGTTGGAGCTGGAAGGTTGGAAGCCTAAGAACAACTCGCGGTACTACTTATTTGCCTGGAGTTCTCAAGCTTGATGTGTTTGGTTTATTGTTACGCGTGGCACGAACCGCGTGGAACTCGGCGAGGGAGCCATGGCCATCGACCCGGTTGGTATGACACGTAGCCGAGAAGTCGAGACCAAAAAAGCGGGGACAGAGGACAGGAGAGGGAGCTATGACAAAGGTATGACACGAAGTATGACGACACAATGACACAGGGACAGGGGCATGGCACGGAGGTATGACACAGAGGGTATGACAGAGAGAGTTGTCTGACAGAGCTGCGTCCTCGCAAAAAGGGTGAAGCCAAGATGGAAAAAAGCGGCTGCTCCTTGCACTCGGACTCAGTTCGGGAGCACAACGTAAGTTTGAGCACTGACACCGCAGACCGCAGCCACCATAGCGATCTGAGCGTCGTTGGCGACCATCAAACAAAGAAGCGGCCTGTGACCAGATGATGCATGGGCAAGCCTGAATGGGGCTTGTAAGCCAGCGAGAGGGGTCACACAGACCAACTAGATCTGAGCCAGGTACTGATTGAAGCCAAATGCCCAGCTTTACACGCCTTGTTGCAGAACATACTATGGAGAAAAACTGTCCAATCCTCACGGAGAAAAGTGCAAGGTGAATCTCAGACTTCTTTCAGTCATAGAACTTCAAACAGCACAAAGCCAAAACCCTGCATGTAAGAAGGGCAAATATAAACACAAAGAATTGCGATCCGCAAGTCCCAAACCAAGACGGCGCTAACTGCACCCGCGAGAACAGCGCATCCAAATTCCACGGAGAGCGAGGTCGGATACAGATCAGGCCGAGAGAAGTCGACGCATCCCTCGCATTCCGTCGCCTTTACTTTTGCATTTTGGCATTCCCCGTCCCAGTCCAGTCTCCCAGTCTCCCAGTCTGCCTGGTAGGTGTGAGCTCGTCTACGCACAGTGCTTTCACCAGGCAGGGGCTCGGCCACTCCTAGCGCCGCTCGGCGTGGCTCGGCGTGGCTCGGCTCTGACGTTTCTCGGTGCCTGGAGCGCGAAGCGCTGAAGTGCGTAGAGGCGGCGATTGTCCAGGGTCACAAGCACGCCCTCCGCATGGAATCCGCGGCTTGCAACAAATCTTAACAGATTCCCAAGGAAACGACGAGACTTCTGCCAAGCCAATGGCACCCCCACCTGCTCTTTGAGGTGCAAAAGCCGGATTGGAGGAAAGGGTGGATCAATGCGCCTTGCAAATTCGACTGCCCAGGCATCAGCCCAATTCCTTGCCACAGCTCCGCGCAATCTGAGGGGACCGCTTTCGTTTGCCATCCTTCAGCTTGATCTGAAGCATCACCTGGGTTTCTTCCAGTTGCTTCCACTGAACTGAGAGGTGAATGGCCTCCGAGATCGGGCCGCGCTCGTGGAAGAACGGATGGATCTTGCCCTGCGAGAAGCGCACGGCCAGCGGCGAGATCCATCGCTCCTGCCGCAAACCAACGGATCCTGAGACTCGCTTCGCGAGACTCGCTTCGCCCGCCCGTCCTCCCACACAATGCCCTCATCCAGCACTCGGCGGATGGCATCCTGAGAAAGAGAAACGCCAAACCGAGAGGCCAAAGTGGCCAAAGTTGCCAAAGAGACCAGGCCTCTGGGAAGAGGTCCGCATCCTGGCCCGACCGTTGAAAAGGGATTCGATTACCTTACCCACACGCGCCCACCCGGGCAGGAAGTGGTTTCGACCGTCACGGTTGTTTCGGCTGTGTTTCCGTCGCACACAGAGAAAAGCAACATGTCTCACAACTTGAAGCCAAAGAAGCTACAGAGCCCGAGGGGCAAGTTTTCAGCAGATGGAGAGCTTGCGCTGTCTGAGAATCTTCAGGCATGACATGGTCAAGCTTGGAACCTGCAAAAACTTGCCACATGCAAGAATCACATGATGGCGTTGAGCGTTTGGGAAGGTCTCTGAGAGTCAAACTCGGTGGAAAAAAGAAGGGCTTTCCAGGCAGAGGGCGGCATCAATCACATCGAGCAGAGTGGAGCAAGGCGCCTTGAAAGGCGGGCCCCACTTCAAGCTGCCGAAGGCTGCCTCGCGAGGCTCACCGCCCATATTAGAACCCCGGCTCAATCGCTGGCACTTTTGGGCAAACTTTGTCCGGAACTCCGTCCTGAACGGCGGTCACACCCTTCTCACCTTTCTCCTTGTTGCCCTCCGCGCACTTCCAGTCGCCTCAGCTCGAACCCCTCCTTGCCTCAGGCGCTCAGTATGGCCCCGACTTTTGCCATTCTCCCAGGTCTCTTCCCAGCCGTTCCAGGAGGACCACTCCCACCACGACTCGGAGGCAAGTGCGCTCCGCATGCGCTCCGCATGCGCTCCGCTGACACGCGGCATGCGGCAGCTCCCTGCCTTGTCGTTGCAACTCCAGCCATGCTCCGGTGACCTTCAAGCCGAACGAGGCAACGAGGCGGCGCGGCAGCGGGGCAAAAGCCCCTCGCTGAGCGCCAGGCCAGCTCCAGCCGTTGGCCTCCTGGAGCAAAGCCGTGGAACTCGAGGAAATGCAACAGAAACCACATGTTCAAAACCAATGGCCATGGCCAGGAACCCTTACAATTGTGTAAATTTCTCAAAGAGGTCCATGATTGTCTCTATCCCAAACGGGTCTACTCACCAGGAGAACGCCGGGACATTGCCAGGCGCGCCTTCTCTTTGGCCTTGCCCCGGCCCTTCTTGGCCTCACCGCCCGCGCCGTCTTCTCGCTTGCCCTTGCCCTGGCAACTCGCGACTCGCGACTCGCGACTCGCGACTCGCGCCTCTGGCGCCCCGAAAGCAAGCGCATACACAGCCCACACGCGATACGCGCTCGCTCGAACTCACTCACGTCAAGTCCATGGCCTTCTCCCCTTTCTTGACCTGTCCGGAGCCGGGACGGAGCCAAGAGCACCACGCGAAACACCGAATGCGACCCCGAAAAGCGACGGGTGGCTCCGCTCCACTCTCTCAGGAGTCTTTTCTGCTGCAAAAGCCGCGGCCTGCGAAGCCTGGACCTGGGCCGCAGCTGCGGCTGCAGTTGCGTTGGCTGCCGCAGCGTTGGCAAAGAGCAGATCCAGCCGGGCCTGACGCACGCGATTCTCCTTCCCGAAACCCCTGCGGAAAAGCGCGACCGACACTCGGGCGCGCCAGGCCGGGCTTCGCTGGCTGCGACTTGAAGGCCTCCAAGGGCGGAGGGAAGTACCTCAGCCGAGGAAAAAAGCTATAGATTTTTCTGCTTTTGCGAGCCCTGATATATATATATATCCGCCGACATTGCTCGGCGTGTCGGACACCTAAGAGAGGATAGAGGATAACCCCCCCCCTAACCCCCCCCCGCCCGACGTCTGATACGTGGGGGGGGGGGGGGGGGGGGGGCCCCCCAAAAAATAGAAGAAGTAGGGGGCCTGGGGGGAAGTCTGTTGAGGGTTGCCTGTTCTGGTTTTTATGTTCATCTCAAATCTATGTTCCCCCTTATTCGTTTTTAAAAGAGGGTTTTTAGGGAGCTTATTTATCGTTTTCGTTAAGGTAATCATTTGGGTAAATTGTCGCCTTGTTCATTGTTGGGCTGGGGGCAAACATTTTTTTCATTTGAAAGAGGTAGCCCTTTTAGTAGTTATCAAGTTCTGGGGTGTTGGTGGGTCGTTTGTTTCTTTGACGTTTATCTCTACAATTATTTATTTTTGTTCTACACTCTTGACAATATTTATATCTTCTTCCACTTTTTACATTTCCAAATTCATCAATTGTTTTATCATAAAGACATCTGTTGCATTTGAAGAATTCACCATAGTCTTCTGTTGCTTTTTCTTCTGTCATTCCATAATTATTCATTATAGTTTGCTTCACAACCATTTCTTAATATATCTTAACAACTTCTTTTTATGTGATTTTTATGTGATTGTCTAGTTATGTTTTATAGGTTGAAATTACAGTATAATGAAAGGTTATAAAAGTTTACACTGTTTAATCATATTATAATTAAATATTATGATTAAGCCATGAAATCATTGTTTCTGTTTTCTATAAATTTCAATTGCAACATGTTCGATAGTAATGATTTCGTGTCGTTTCATAGTCTGTTTGGTTTCTTCAACTGCTTGTTCAATATGGTATTGTAATGACGCTCTACTTGAAATCTTATTCTGTTTAGATGATGAATAAGAACGACTGTTGCAAATATTATTATTATACATAATTTTTGAACTAACTACTATTCCAACCTGTATTTCTTCATCATACTTCATCATTCTTAATAATTCTTTTGGTGGTTTCAACGCATATGAAAGCGCTTTATCACCTTTTAAGCATTTATTGCGAATCTCAACATAATATCTACTTTCTCCTACTCGTTCAGTGTAAATAGACGGTTTCCATTTCCTTTGTAATTCTCTTAAAGCATCACATTGTTTCAGTCTTCGCCACCCTTCACTACCATTAATGTAAGTAGTGATGATTGAAACTAAGCCTTCAGGTAAGCTAGCGCAATTCACAACCATAAAATTATTCTCTGACATTTTACCCTTACTCATTTTTCTCTTAATATATAAGGTAATATTTCTTTAAGTAGTTTTGGCTAGGGGTTGCTGGTCGGCTGGTCTGGGTTTCAGGTTTAATTTAAATGTCTTAACCTTCTTGTTAGATTATAAAACACTGTTTAACCATATTATAATTAAATATTATGATTAAACCATGAAATCATTGTTTCTGTTATGTATAAATTTCAATTGTAATATGTTCTATAGTAATGATTTTGTTTCGTTTCATAGTCTGTTTTATTTCTTCAACTAATTTTTCCAATATAAAATTGTAATGACGCTCTACTTCTTATCTTCACCACAAAAATATGTGTGATGATTACCCCTCAGTCAGGGTAAGGTCTACCCCGAAATCTGGGCAAGGGTAAGGTTTATACTGAGAGAAGGGTAAGGTCTACCCCAAAAACGGGGTAAGGGGTACCCCAAAGCTGGGGTAAGGGGTAAGGGCTACCCCAAAATCGGGGTAATGGGGTAAGGTTTACCCCAAAATCGGGGTACACCACCACCACCAACACCACCACCACCCCCTTTTCTCCCACCGCTCCCCACATTTGCTCTGTCCTGAGGTTGAGACGTCATTCAGAACATCGCCTTCAACACTGTCGTCTATGAGGTTTTGGTTGAGGGAGCGGGTAGGGATTGTGGGTCTTTTGCTTTTGTTGTTATCCCAATCCCACCAAAACAAGGACCAAATCTCCCATTTCTCAACTCCCCCAAAACCAACAAACACATAAACTTCAATATGTTCAGTTTCAACCTCATCCCCAAACCCACATTTCCAGTTTCAAACCCAATCCCAAACCCAATATACTTATAAGACAAGAGAAACGAGAATATCTCAAAATATCAGTATTGATATTTGCATTTTTCAAATCAAGGGAAATAACACTAAAACCCAAATCCCGAGCAACCCGACCAACCGAGCCTGTCCCTGAAAATAATTCTAATAATTTCATATTATTAGAACTATCTAGATAATTATTTTATGGAATAATGCCCATATGGTAATGAAGTGAAAGCATCACTATAAAACCTTTTATTTTCATAATTACTCAGACTTTGCTTGACTTGAGACATTGAATATATTTGATGCGACTTACTTCTGATGAAGTTATATGTGATTTCATGCTTTTTGTTTTGAAATAATGCTTCGTGGTAGTTCTGATACGACAGTTCTTTTTTCACTTTGTGTTTGACTACACCTTTTGATTTCTTATGTTCATCATCCTCACCATGAATTGTGAAGGCATAAGATTTAGGTTTCAATCCGATGAATTTAGTAATGATTTTTCCATTCACTTCGTCCTTAAACATTCCTAAGACCTTTTTATTAGTTTTGTCATGACATGGATGCTCAACAGGATAGTCGCTAAAATCCATGTGTTGCTTTATCTCATTGAAATCCTTATAGACATCATCAGTCATTGTTTGAATTACATAACTGTCAGTATCAGTATATATCAATTTGATGTTTTCATTATACTTCTTTTTCAATACTTCATAATAAAACTGATACATATGTAATTTGCTTAAATCTAAAATGCTCATTCCTAAGAAAATCGGTTTATCCAGTTTCAGTTTTGCTTTAGTTTTCTCAACTCCGACGAGATTTTCATTAATAATAAATCTATTTTTGAAAGTTGGATTATTAACGCATTTTTCATATCTTACCTCATTATCAACCAGTTCAAAGTCCATATGGTTTCTTTTGTCTTCCATAGTTTTTCCGTACACCGCGTTATTCATTAATTTGAATAAATCTTTCTCAAAATCGCTTTTGGCTTCTTTCCTTTTACCAGTGTTGAAGTCAATCCACGGTTTCAACCATGCCCTCTGTTGAAATTTTATTATCCTATGGACTTTTGTCATTTTCATTCCCATTTTCAAATAATACTGTAAAGTCTTGATATGAACCACATATTTTTCTTTATCCTTTAGATTTAATATTAACTTACTTGTTTTCTCATCCTTGGGATTTTTGCCATCATAATATATTTTGTAGACTTGCTTTTGATAATCAGAAAGCATACTAACATTTACATTCATTATTTCAGGCGCTAGTGGATAGTCAGAGTGGAAGTCGTGCAATGTTTCGGGATATTCCAAATCAACTTCCATAATATAACCGAACTCGTCGTTTTCATTCCATTTTTCAACACTGGGCGTTTTCTTTGCCCACTTGATATTTTTTAGCGGTAATTTCTGGGACATTGCTAAACCATACAAGTTATTAGCATCCAAGTAGCTAATATAATTTGATGGCTTGTTCTCATCATATGCTTCCTCCATATACTTATTATTTGCCACCGCTAATTTATGACTTACCTGACACATACCACCTCTCATTCCCTTTTCAACCATCTCAAACATTTCTTGGTCATGCAATTGTTCTATTTCAACACCAGTTTTTAGAAGCATCGCGTCCCATGCGAAATTTGGCAACGTATAATAATGAGCGGGGTCTAAACCGTAGTATTCCATACACAAGTCTCTAAAGTTTTCAAATACATCGGTCAGTAGTAAAACATCAGTTCTTAAATACAAGTCGTGATACTGCCCGAGTGTTCTAATCCCGAAGTGCTTCCATACTTTCAGTGCCCTTTCATAATCTTTATCACTTACATGTTCCTCACTTAATTTACTGTAAAACGCTTCTTTCGGTGGTAAAGCCCTTTCCTTAAATCTTTCAAAATCATCAAAGTAGTCATAGGGATAAATACCCTTATCAGTCAATAAATCCAAATCTTCATCGGTTTTAACATACGGGTTTCTAACGCTGTATCTGAAATTGTTCTTCCAATTCTCACGCTTTTTATCATCCTCATATTTACTCAACCTGACCAACTTATCCAACGAAGACGATAAGAAACTGAAACTGTCCTTGAAACAAAGATTTTTAAAACCAAAGGTTATAAACTTTTCGCTGTTCTGAGCGATACATTCTATTTTAGAATTCTTGTTCAGTTCGTGAGCCTTGTTGATGATTAAGTGGGCATCGTAGTTTTTAAGATTATGAAGAAACACAGGGATTTTATAATATCTCATACTAAATCGTAGATTGCAGTCCTCGTGGGCGCATCCTCTATACTGCCCCGTAAAGTGGCAATGGTCCCAACACTTCTTTTCTCCTTCCTCAAATTTGTTTCCACAAATGAAGCAGTTAGTGGCATTATTGAAGTCCTCCCAGTCCTTCTCGGTTTCAATACGGTCTTTGTCCTCCTTCATTTTCTCCAAAACTTCCTCTCTGACTTTATTGATTTTCTCAACAAATTTATCCATACAATCCTGACCTCTGTATAAGTAAGGCTCACTACTTCCGGTTATAGCATTGACTACATTAATCATAAAACCACACGGACGATGATTTTGATATGATGTAGTTTTAGCTTTTGCCGATTTGCTTTTAACATCAATTGGCACAGTTAAACATTCAAAGTCGGCATAGATTACGAATGGAGCTTTAAGTTTCTTGAAATGGTTTTTGAATACTATTGTTTCACCTGCTTCTGGCATTTCTATTTTTTGACCCTCAACTGCTAGACATCCTTGTTCTTCGTGTTTCTTTAAAAGTTCTTCGGTCTTGAAACCATGTGAGCAGGTTCTACAGTGATACTTCTTCGCCTTCATCTTGTTAGTCTGACTACTCATTAACTTATCATAATTTTTG